ATATATATATATATATATAATAGTTATTTTTTAAAATTCATATTAGTGGTCCGCAGGATTTAAAATTATGAATTTAGTGGTCCATGAGGTCGGAAAGGTTGGCGACCGCTGTACTAGACCCCTGATATCTCCATAAGACAACCTGTTACCTGCATTATACTTTTAGATATGGGGATTATCAGCCCCCTTGTGATATCTGATGGGGTGGTCATAATAATCTGGCCACTCAGTGTATAAGGAGCAGTGGGTGAGGAATAAGAGTGATGTGGAGCAAATATCATATTTTCAGAAAATATATAATGTTGGGGGGGTTTAAGTCATTTTCAGGCCTAAAATGTGGAATATAACATGGGTGCAAAAAATGAAAAAGGGGCCTCAGTCATGAAGGGGTTAATCATTATCAATCGGGTTCAGCTTTATTTCTGTCTGTCTATTGTTTTGTGCGTGCATCTGAGGATTATCCGATGCTGAATTTGGATAGCTGCCTATTTGGGTGATGTGATTCCATATTTGACATCAGGTGATCCGCGCTAGTGCTGACTACACGAGTGTAGTTGCCATAAGTCCTGATCGCTTCCAGATTCATTTATCACAGAGGTGATCAGCAAACGGATGTTAGCTGATCTCTCACCTCTCTCCATCCTGATACCCATCATGGAGGTCCCAGGCACTCAGGAGGGACAAGTGATCCTGGGACACGTAGGAGGGGGTGGCTCCATTACTGGCATATAGAAGTGATCGGGCAGCTGCAAAGTAAATCACTTCTATGTGGAAGTCGGGGTAAAAATCTAACGGACTCCCTGCTGTTTTAGCAACTAGGATATGTACATCCTGGAGCTGCCACTGCTGTAATATTTATGTGGGCGGCAGTGAAAGGGTTAAACACACGTTTGCAGGTTTCTATTATTGATGTGCAGTGTGAATGACTGTTTTGAGGCTGCGTTTGGCGCGCTTTGTTTCTTTGGCTGCAGCAAGTACATATCAGATCCGTTCACATTGCAGGGAAGGCCGGTCACACCACCTGGGTGGATGCATGAGTAGAGCCCGGGCTGGAATGCACAGTGTGAACGTTCTGCTTATAGCGGGCACCAGATGACCAGATCTTATTCGTTACTAAGGGCAGCGTGCGGTTTGAGTCATTTTCTTCTCTTCTTTGATTTCCTCAGATTATCGTGCTTTGGGTGGGCACATTCAACCAGGGACACACCGCGGAGCAAGTTTCGGGGGGCATCCAGGCCATCGTTCGATGCATGCAGGAGAGGCAGCCTCAAGCTAAGGTTGTGGTGCTGGTGAGTGTTGGAGACTTGTGGCTTTTCAAGTGGCGCTGAAATCAGTAGGGATTTGCTATGTTATAGGGAACGTTTGAAAACGGTAATTGTGCTGAAACAGTACCTGATAACATTTACTTTTTGTCTGGAATTCCTCCTGCAAAGGCTAACACTCTGTTAAAACTGGAGGGGCAGCCATACTAGTATCTATATCAGTGCTGATGCCGAGTATTTGGGGGAGTACTCGCCCAAATGCTCCGATGCCTAGCCTGATACTTGAGCTTCAGTGAACAGGAAGCCAGGCAACGAGTCATTACATGAAGCCTGGCTTCCTGATTGGCCAGGAAGCCGGCTCCATGCTCCCTTGTCACTTTCTGGCCAATCAGGAAGCCGGGCAGCATGCAGTGACTCGCCTAGCTTCTTGATTGGTCGGAAAGCTGGCCAATCAGGAATCCAGTCGCCCCATTCCTGCAGACATAACAAACGTGACCTTGGTTTGGCCTCCAGTCCTTTACACAATTGCTTTGCTTGTCTTTGAAGGGTTTGCTGCCACGAGGGAAGAACCGGAACGCCTTGAGGGACAGGAACAAGCAGGTGAATGAGCTGCTGACTGAGGCCATGCCCTCGATGCCCAACGCCATATTCCTGGACGTGGATCCCGGCTTTGTGCATTCCGATGGTACCATCAGTCACAACGACATGTATGATTACCTTCACTTGAGCCGCCAGGGATATGCTCGCATCTGCCAGCCTCTGCAAAAAGCACTGCTGCAGCTGTTAGAGGGCAGAGGGGTGCCAACCCGAGACTAGCGATCAGGGGCCAAATGGTTATCTAGAATTGGGAATAACCTGGAATACCAGAGGAGGGCGAGACAGGTTCTCTTAAAGGCTTCCCTCTTATACTTCTCCAAAGATAAGGTTGAAGGGAATATGGAAGCAATCCTGCCTGGGTAAGAGCAGTGCAATAACGTTCTCATTCCACCAGGGGGTGCTGTCTTCCCAAGTTAACACTTAATACCCACTGCCTGCGGGGAGGACAGGAAACTCTCCTTCCCACCCCGGAAACACTTCCCCATCCCTAACCAGCTACAGCTTTATTTCCAGCCTAGTTTTCTTTTTTTTTCTTTTGCAAAAGGTGTAAGCCATTTTGTTGAAACAGGTGCAAGCTTTCCCTTGACGGAGCACACCTCCTCCAAACTGTTTCATCCATGGCCCCGACCTGTGGAGGAGGGGAGTTTGAATGGAAAGGCACTATGGATGTGATTCTCAAGGGACATCATGTACTTGTTTTAAGGGACTATGTGAATGCAAACAGCTAGCTGGTGGGAGCCCATTGTTTAGTACTACACTTCCTTTTTGTTTTTATGTCCTTTTATTTGTACAGTTAATCCCATTTTGCTTTTGTATATTTACAGTGAGATTTATTGTATGTATGTTCTCGTTCTTTACCTACACCGCAAAGTGATTCCATTATACCTGGAAGGCTTGTCACCGAAATCACATAATAAATGTGTTGGGACTCTCACTTTTTCTACACGCGAGTGGTTGATTTGCACAAAGCCGAGATTTAAAGCAAGCCCAATCATTAGAGGTAAAGGCCAAGTATTATTTCTGGATGAAGGGCTAAGTGTCCCACAATGGGGATGCCAAGAAGAAGCACTTAGATAGATAAAGGAGCCCATACTCTGAGAAGTACCAGGGGTAAGGGGGGAGGGTTATTAAGGATTCAACATCCTGTTAGGGCCGGGAACTGCCAAAGTTGGCATCTGTTGACGGGACAGGTCAGGGAGTCCCTCTGGAGAAGCAAAGGTGACCAGGATGGGGCAACACTCCAGAAGTTGAAGAGCCTCTAGACCAGTGTTTCTCAACCTGTGTAACCTCAGGACCCATATTTGCCCTTTGTCATTAAGTCACGACCCAAGTCGCACTGCAATGAAACACATGACATTGTGGTACTACGTGTTCCGGTGCGGGCTATAAAAAATGTGGGTGGGTTTGGGGTACCATTTAAATGAATGGCAATGCAACACACCTCCTACACCAGACTGTGCAGTAGGTGCGATTGTGTGGTACGGTGCATTAATCACAGGGGGTCAGTGCGATTAACGTACTGTACTAGTGTGACCGGGCCCTCAAAAACACTGACATACCCACACAACCACAGACACAATCTCACACACCCAGTTTTTTGTTTTTTTTTTAAAGATCCACCCAGTCTTCCTACCTTACCAGAACTGGCGTAGATCCTCAGCCTGGGGTCTAGTATGGGCTGCTGCGCTGTGACGGAGCTCCATCCATATGTTCATTGCTTGTACACCTCCCTTGTATGCCCTGTAGAGATGGTGGGAGCCAGAATGTGACGTCACTCCGGTCCAGGCACCTCTACAGGACACGTGAGGGAGCTGTAAGCATTGCAGGTATGGATGGAGCTCTCTCGCAGCCATACCCCCAGCCCACTCTACCTTAAGCTCACACTCGGTGCCAGGAACGATATTTTGCATGGCTGCTCGGTGTGAGAAGTGCAGAGGAGTCTCTCACCTAGAAAAGTGGAAGGCACGCGGCGACCCACTGAACACTTTTTGGTCACGACCCACCAGTTGAGAACCAAGACTCTAGACTTAAGAGACCCCAAAGGGGCCAGGTAAGGTCCATCAATCTGTGCAGTGACACAAAATGGTAAGTAGCAGAAGAGCGTGCCAGAGGCGAAGGGGGTATCCTGAGAAACCAATGGCTCTGAACCTAGAAAACATTTCACAGCTACAGTAACTTGCTGGCAGAACGGGGTCTGGAAAGTGCCTAATGCGGAACCCAGTGACTGAAGGTTACTACCAAGCTGGCACCTGAACGTCCACGGGGGTCTGGCACTCCAAAGCGGTGCCATATAGAGACCAGCTGAAGAAACAATGAAGCCAGAAATCTTCACTGAAGAGAACCGAGGTAAAAATGGTTCAGCGGCGCTGAAGACGCCCATTCTATTGGACGTTGGCAAAAACCAAGGCATGCTGGGTAGTGGAGGGGTTATCTGCGCCAGTGTCCAATCCTCCTGTAGCCAGCAGTATAACTTTAACATCCTGTGTCCCTCAATAGATGACAGAGATGCCATTTCATAAATGAAAGAAGGCTTTCTCCCCTTTGTAGAAGATGTCCGATCACTTCCTGTTGTTACTAGGGACAGGAAGTTGGGGACATTTCCCAAAGTGGACAAAAGAATAATAAAAATCCTGATACAGGTTGCCACCCTCTAAAATGGGGGGAAAGAAATGTGGATTGTATAGATACCACAATTACCTTTCTCCTGGAATCCTGAATCTTGTCACCTTTCTGATGCAAAAGAGGACTTGAATCCCCTTTGAGACAGACCATGTGACCAGTGCCACAGTATCGGTCATATGATTGGTGCCAGACAGGAGCGCAATTCTAAAAGGGTTCCTGGAGAAAAGGCATTTCTGAACATTGTTAGTAATGTAACTACAAGAACATAATAAGATTTTATGGTGGACACGAGAGCTCTTTAAAGGAGAAGTATGGGGTCAGGGCTTTTCCCCCATAGTTCTCCTAAGGGTCACGGGAGGACACAAACTAGCGTCCCCCCCGTCACCCAAAGCTCAATATACCGCGAGCTGTACTGAGACCGCCGCAGCCGGATCCCGACATTACTATCGAGATCCACCCAGTTGCGTGATTGACAGCTGGCTCTGCCTATCTAGGGGCATAGCCAGCTGTACCCGCACCCTCCCCCAGTCAGCGCTGGAGGATCGGGGAGGAATCCCTGCAGGGAGCCGTGAGTGACAGTCACGGCTCTCTGCAGGGAGATGATCGAGAAGTGAGCGAGCAGCGGTATGTGTTCGCTCACTTCCCGATCTATAGAGCCGACGTGCGACAGTCTCATTGTCACAGGTCGGCTGGAACTATGAGGCTGAGTGATTTTCACTCACCTCATAGTTCTCCTTTAAGCGTCTGCTCTATATGAAAAATCCACCAATACCCGATGTCTCTGCAACAGAAGGATTTCAGACCTTTGTTGTAGTACCACTAGTGGTACCTCAGTTCGCGAACCAAAATCGTGGCACGAATTAAGTTCCTGAACCGAGATACCACTGTACATCTCTTATCAAACCAATTACTCCTGACATAGTCCACCCTGAGGGACCAAGGTCAGCTTCTCCCTATGCATGGAGTACTACCACCCACCGAATGAAAGGTCTCCATGGAGACAGAGGGGCTCCACATTTCATGGTAGGCTGTGCACCATTTTGATGGATCACTGCAACGTACCCCGAGGGAAGTCATTATTGCGTTATCCATTCCTATTTGTGACAGAAGAAAGAACTACGCTGTAGAGGTTCTCCCGTCTCGCTCCTTGTCTCCCTAGTTTTTTTTTTTCCCCAATCTCTATTTTTTTTAAGAGCAAAAATGATATTGTAATAGGAGAGCTGAGTGATCATAGAAATGACCTCATCCATTGACTGCTGTGCTTTCATCGTCCAATCACAGACTGGGCAGGGAGGGAACCTGTATTGCTGAGCTGTAGTAGATAAAACAGGCCACCGGCCCGGCTGTGGTGCGCAGTACTGGACTGTGTAAATCTCAGATTAAGGTGAGCAGAGATACAAAATCTTTTATGCCAATAAACATTTCCTATTTGTGTTCTCAGCTGTATATTTAGCTCTGTGCTCGGAGTTCAGCTTTAAAGTGACACGAAACTCAGGAGGTAAATCTTAATAGTTGATATACCAGAATGTATTTTTAACAATGGGGGAGATTTATCAAAACCGGAGCAGACAGAACCAATCGGCTTCTCTCCAGTTTGTTCAGTTAAGATTTGAAAATGAAACGGAGAAGCGGATTTGGTTGTCGTGCACAGCTGCTCTGGATTCTGTCTGCTCAAGTTTTATAAATTCCACTTAAGCCCCATTCACATTGAGCGATTTATCGCGCGGTAATTCCCACGATATTGCGGCAAATTACCGCGCAATATCGCGCTCCAATGCATTTCAATGGGGCAAACGGTCCTGCTGTCGCAGGTCGTGTGTCGCTACAGCAGAACCCTTTTTGGAGCGGATTTAGCCGCGATTCAAGCTTGCTCAATGCAAGCTTGAACGCGATATCGCGCGGCAAATCTCGCGATATCGCGCAGTGGGAACGGGGCCTTAATGTCTCTTAATTGTGTATCACTCGGCTGTAGATCCTCAAATCACCTCTGAATCTCAATACAAATTAGCAACTTGAACATCAGATTGTAGTCCATCATGATAGCGAGCTTGGAGCGGTGGCTACTTTACAACACACACAGGGACCATGGGGAACCAAAGTAGCCACCCTCCAGAAGGAAGGACAGTGTCAGCAGCAATTCAGAGATGGTTTTCGCGCGGCAAATCTCGCGATATCGCGCAGTGGGAACGGGGCCTTAATGTCTCTTAATTGTGTATCACTCGGCTGTAGATCCTCAAATCACCTCTGAATCTCAATACAAATTAGCAACTTGAACATCAGATTGTAGTCCATCATGATAGCGAGCTTGGAGCGGTGGCTACTTTACAACACACACAGGGACCATGGGGAACCAAAGTAGCCACCCTCCAGAAGGAAGGACAGTGTCAGCAGCAATTCAGAGATGGTTTGAGGATCTACAGCCGAGTGATACGCAAATCAGATACATTTTTGTTCAGAGTTAAGATACTTGAATGTAATTTTTAAGATTTTAATCCGCAGTTTAGTGTCACATTAAAGTCGAACTCTGACCATGTAGGAAGTCAAATATTTACACATACACTTACCAGGCAGTAAAGGAACTTTATAATAAGCCTGCACTAAGCTGTGTAGCTGCAGACACTTTGGAGCGATTTGTCCTCGAAGTTATGAACAGAAAAGTTCTTTAAAAGTAAACCCCCTTTTTTTTTGGTTTTACGTCTCTTTTGGGTCACGGGAGTACAAGTCATCAGATTGGCTAATATTCACTATCTGCTGACACCACAATCTGGGAAGGATCCCGATGGTATGGTCCCACCCCACCTGCCTAAGTGACAGCTGGCTCCACCTCTCTAGGGCTATTGTCAGCCATGCACTCCCCTGTCTGTCCCTCTGATGAGCACTGGAGATGGGGGAAATCAGTGCAGGGAGTGGTGACTGACAGCTGCTGCTCCTTGCAGGGAGAACAGACCATGAGCTGAATGATCAGTGGTCGCTCAGCTCCTGGTATAGAGTAGACAT